ACACACACACACACACACACACACACACACACACACACACTATGTAATTGTCCATGCTACAGTAAGTAAAAAGACTTTATGAACAATTTAGTCAGGAAAGCAAGGCACAAGTGGCCAGTGTCCCAGGCAGAGTGTGATCATAGTGTCATTTTACTATCAGAGAGGTGTGACATATATGAAGGGCACATATATGTCAGCCCCTTATCACTCAAATCGCACTTTGCTCTGTAGGTCAGCCTTGTTGAGTACCCAAGAATTTCTACAGCAAATCTAGCGCCACTACTCCCTCTACCGGGCTCCTCTCGCATCTGCCATCTATACCAGGGAGGCCCTCATGTCCTATGTCACTTGGGCCAGAACTACATCCCCAACCCCCTGTGCTGAAGTTCTAGATGCACTGTGTCAGTGCAGAGTAACATCATAAAAAGCCAGGCAAGGTGGTGCACACCTCTAATCCTGGCACTTATGAGGCAGAGACAGGAGAATCTCTGAGTTTGAGGCTAGCCTGGTCTACAGAGTGAGTTCCAAGACAGCCATGGCTGTTACACAAGAAGCCTTGTGGGGTAAGGGGGAAGCATATCTGACCGTATTACTCTCCTGCTGAGAAAACAGTCACTCACAGGACACCCCTTGCTGTGTCTAGCCATCTCAGATGAGGTTAGCCACACTAGACTCCAAGGGTCTAGGCCCTGGCATAAGTTTCACTCACCTTTTTCTCCTCTACTACCTCTCTCTTGAATTCAATCTTCTCTCTCAGGGTCTTTCCTTGCAGGCTCTCGGAAGGAGCTACTTCCTCTTCTGGGTTCCTAGTGAAAAGCTGCTCCCAATTCCAGGACTCCATCAAGGCTTGGGCTTTCTGGCGCTCAATTAACCTCTTCCTGTCAAGTCACAGTCCCAGGGCCCTTAATCAGTCTCTGAAATCCAGCCTGCTGTCCCCAGGGACTGGACAGTGCAGGCCAGAGGAGGCAACTGGCCAGAGTTCTGAGTCCCCACCTGCTCCCACCACTAGCCAGAGGTCCCACAACCTTACGCCACAATGCTTTGTGGGTGGCTGGCCTTCGGACCACTTTCTATCATCCGCCTTAGCTGGAGCTTGGCCAGTTGGGCCACGTGGCTATTAAGCACTTCCTCCACAGACATACCAGGAAAGAGTTTGGCCATCAGTGGGGCCATCTGCCAGGGAAATGGTGACCAGAGTTGGACAATGAGCAGAGGGTGGGTGCTACCCTTCCCTCAGGGATGAAGAGGGAAGGCTTCTGTAAACTTTCTAAACTGGGGCCTTTTGCCACAGAAGGAGTAGGAAACCAAGAGAAATGGACCGTTCCCTAATGGGGAGCAGAGCCTAGCTTCAAACCAGCTGGACCTGCACAAGTGCACAAGTCTCACTCTACACCTGTGGATGGAATGGAGGGGTGGGTAATGCTGGTAGGGAGGAGGCCTAGTGGGAGTAGCAGCTCATTGTCACCAGTTTCTTTTAGGGACAGGAACAGCAGTCAAGTGGCAAGGGTGTGAGCCTTCCTGGCTCAGCAGGATCTCACCTTTGGATACTTGGGGTTCAGGAGCAGCACAGTGGCAATATCCTGGCAGGCCCCCACAATGTTCTGCAGGAGCTGTCTGTTCTTGGCCCGGTGCAGGTAGTACTGGGCGTTCACAGGGTTGTACTTTATGGCTGCTGAGAAGTGGTCCTCTGCTTTCTGGAACTGCCTGAGGGACATGCCCAAGGCACCATGAGCTGGGCCATCCAGGAGGGATGGGCACCAAGGAGTTCAAGGAAAACTAGGGTCCTCTGCTCCTGCCATGCTCCTCCCTCCCACTCCCAACCACACCACACCCTTTATGGACCTGACACTTGGATACTATCACTTTGGTGTACCCTAATATTTTCTTCCTTCCTTCCTTCCTTCCTTCCTTCCTTCCTTCCTTCCTTCCTTCCTTTCTTTCTTTCTTTTTCTCTCTTTCTTTCTCTCTCTCTCTCCTCTCTTTCTTTCTCCTTCCTTCCTTTTTTTCTTTTCTTTTTCTTTTTCAAGACAGGATTTTTCTATATAACAGCTCTGGCTGTTGTAGAACTTGCTCTGTAGACCAGGCTGATCTTGAACTCAAAGATCCACCTGCCTCTGCCTCCCAAGTGCTGGGATTAAAGGCATGGGCCACCAAGTCCAGTGTTTTCTGTTTTGTTTTATTTTGTTTTTTTAATTTCAGTTTGTTGGGTTTTTTTTTTCCCCTGACAGAGTTTCTCTGTGTAGTTTGAAGCCTATCCTAGAACTCGCTCTGTAATGATCCACCTGTCTCTGCCTCCCAAGTGCCAATATTAAAGGCATGGGCCACTACGTTTATTGATACCTCCCCGTGCACCCCCCCCCACACACACACAGGGTTTCTCTGTATTGCTTTGGAGCCTGTCCTGGAACTCACTCTGTAGACCAAGCTGGTCTCGAACTCACAGACATCCACCTGCCTCTGACTCCCGAGTGCAGGGATTAAAGGCGTGTGCCACCAATGCCCAGCTGATAACTTTTTTAAAAAAAGATTTCTTAGGTATATAGTGTTCTACCTGCATGCCAGAAGAGGGCACCAGATCTCATTACAGATGGTTTGTGAGCCATCATGTGGTTGCTGGGAATTGAACTCAGGTCCTCTGGAAGACCAGCCAGTGTTCTTAACCACTAACCCATCTCTCCAACCCCTTGATAACATTTTTTAAAAATGTGTGTGGGTGTTTTACCTACATGTATGTTTGGGAATCATTTACATGCTTCATCACTTGGAACTGGAGTAACAGATGTCTGTGAGTTGCCATGTGGGTGCTGGAAAGCAACCTAAATCCTGGAGGAATCTTTAGAGGGAGGCCAGTGGGAGAGTAGGTAGACCTTGAAAATACATTCTAAGGCCAGCTGCAGTAGTAGCACATGCTTTTAATCGCAGCACCTGGGAGGCAGAGGCAGGCTTATCTCAGTGAGTTAAGGCCAGCTGGTCTACAGAGTGAGTTCCAGGACAGAGCTGTTACACAGAGAAACCCTGTCTTGAAAAACCATAAAAACAACAACTAAAAAAGCAAAACCCTCTGTCCAAAAACCCATTCTCTGCCAGCCGCCCTCCTTAGCCATCCATCACACCCTGTGATCACATCCTCCCAGGGCACACCCTCCCCACCCCCAAACACCTTCGCGTCTGCTCACAGAGCCCCATCTTCTCCTGCAGCACACCCATGCGTAGGTTGGCTCCCTCATCCTTCGGGCACAGTTCCAGCGCCTGCTTGTAGTCTGCCTCTGCGAAGGCCAGGTTGCCCAGCTGGAAGAAGCAATCTAGGAGCCAAGGGTGAGGTCAAGTTCATCCCCAACTTCAGAACAACGCTAGGACCCAGCCGCCTCAGACGTTAGCCAGGGCCTGGCCTCCTAGCTCACCCCCACGGTTGATGTACAGGCCCTTCTCGTTTTGCTCGTCCCTGATTGCCTTGTTCAGCAGCAGCACACCCTCCTGATAGGCGCCTTGGGTGTAGCAGTGCACAGCAAAGTCATTGTAGGTCAGTAGCAGCTGGCGCTGTGTCTTCTGCACCAGGTTGTCCTGGCTGTCAGTCACCATGTCCATTGCCTTCAGGAAGTCTTCCACAGCTGGGTCAAATTGCTGGAGCCGTCTGTGCAAGGTACCCCTATGGTGGTGGACATGGCAGACAGCAGAGAGGGCACAAGGACCAAAGCATCCCATTTAGCTAGAAGGCCACTGATCACCCTAGGCCTTCTGATCCATGACCCTTGACTATATTCATGAATTCTGCCTCAAAGCCTTAGGTCTGTCCTCTGGTGCTTGCCCACAATTGCTGCCTGGATAACCTATTCGTCACCAGTATTTGTTATTTCTCACTGACACTTTCCATTTTGGGAACCAGCTATTTGCTAACCTCTATGTTCAGGAGTCAGCTCTCTCCTTCCACATTTATGTGGGTTCTGGGAATTGAAACTCAGGTCAACAGGTTTGTTCCGAAAGCTGCTTTACCCACTGAGCCACCTCACATGCCCCTGTTCATTCCTTTGTGTACACACCCTTTAGCCAATCATTTAGATGAGAAACCCAGGATTAGGGAGATTGAATGGCACCAAATCCTTGGGGGACCAGATAAACTCCTAGTCTCATGCCCTCCCAGCATGAACTACTCAGTAGGCATGGCTGGGGTAGGAGTTCCAGGTTATGGTGGAAACTACCTCGATGGTGCCATGCCCCCAATTGAAAACTGGTGAAGGTTTATTAGGGGCTAGAGAGAGAAACAGCCTGGGAAGGATCAGAGACTCTCCTGAGACCTTACAATAGATCTTCAGGAAGACCAGCCCCTTTCCACCCTGGTACCGGAAGAGGAAGAGATTGGGGTCCAGGGGGTTGTTCTCAATGGCACAGCTGATACGTTTCAGTGCGCGATGCAGTTTTCCCTGCACGGCCAGGATGCTGGCGTCTTGGAGGGACTTCTTGGCCTGGTCCACCATCACCTGGAGCAGCCCTTTGGCCTGTGGGTGCTTGGGATTGAAGAGCAAGGCGCTTCGAAGGTCCTGATAGCAGAGCTTGGGCTGCAGGAGTGGAGGGTAGCATGGTGGTGCTGTCACAGCAGGGATAGAGAAGGGCAGGCCTCTAGGTGACAAGCTAGCATCACACCATCCCTCCTGTGTCCCTGCATCACTGTTCTACATTTCTGACCTCTTGAATGAGGCAGAAGCATTGAGGAAAATCCATCCCTAGCCTCAACATTAATAGCTCCTTTCCAGGTGTGACCTCAGTGAGGTAGGTCAGCCTCTGGTTTGTGCTAATTTGTTATATCAAGAGTTGTGTGGAGAGGGCAATGTGCTGCCTCATCCCCTCCTGCATCCTCCTCCACTCCCTGTCCTTTACACCAACATACTGTGACCAAGGACAGACTGAGGTCTGGGTACCAGCAGAGAACATCCCTAGGCAAATGCTTCCCAGTGCTGTGCAGTTGGCTGGTTGCTCCACAGTCTTAGCAATCCCCCCATTCTCCTTTGGGTAATTGGTTGGAGGGTACACTGGGAGGACTGGGCAGTGTGAGAGAGGGAGTGGCTGAAATGTGCTTGGGTTGGAGAACTGGCTATATGGCCTTGATCAAGTCACCTCTGGTCTGCTTTATTCATCTTTCTCCGAGGGTTCCCAGCAGTCTTGGGGATGAACTGCCTTTCATGGGTCACAAGTGGATGTGGAGTCAGCAATAAATATTGACGATGAATACACTCATGCCTTTGAAGCGGACTCCCACTGGGTCACCTGTGTGACACTAAAGCCCAGCCTCTGACTAGAGCCTGTCTGGGTCCCCTTACTCAGCCACTCCCCTTCCTTGCCTGGTGAAATGAAGTGAACCTACCCTTCTTCCTTGCATCCTCTCTGGCTCCTCCTCATCTTGTTGCCAACGCCCAGTTCACCTATAACACTGCACACTGTTCTGGATCCTCTTTCCTTCCATTGCCTCAGCACTGCAGGATGCAGGACCCACTCCAGCTCCCCCCACCCCCCCATCCTCTCACACTTGCCCTTCTCAACTGACAGTCTCCACAGAGGGAACCATCCCCAGAGGTCACTGCCCCAGGGAACACTCTATCCAGGAAGGCTTGCAGGCTCCTTCTCTCTGCCTACATTCTCCTTAGCTTACTCCCTGTGACCCTACATCCCTTGTCCCCAGGCTGTCCCCTGAACTCTCTGTGTCCTCTCTCAGCTCAGCAGGGAGGCCAGGAGCTTTAGAACTTTTCCACTGTGCAAATAAAAGAAAGCAGAATGCCAAGCATGGTGGCCCATGTCTTTATCCCAGCAGAGGAAGGTAGATCTCTGAGTTCAAGGCCAGCCTGGTCTACACAGTGAGTTCCAAGACAGCCAGGGCTACACAGAGAAACCCTGTCTCAAAAAGCCAAAAATCCCCCCCTCAAAAGAAAGAAAGCAATACAGGGAAGAAGTGCATCAGCTAATGTCTGTGGTGTCCTGGAGGCCACACAGCTGAGGGCTGGGGAGAGTCACTGGCTGAGGGGTCCGTCAGCAAACCGCTTCCTACACTGGCTTGAGGATCCCCCAAACCCACCCATGTCTCTGTCACAGCTCTAAAGAAACAAGGATAACATGACACACTCGCCCCACACCTCTTTAGAGGTTACCAGAGAGCATAGTACTGTCTGGCGCAAAGTCAGGACTGAGTGATGAAGGACAGCTACCTCATTGACAGGACCCTCAGACTCTGTGTGAACTTATAGGGATAAAAGACTTCCAGCTGGCCTTGCCTCCTCTATGATCTTGGGACACACCAGGGGCTCCAGGCCACACCCACCCTGCCCCACTGTGCACTACCTTCTGGAAGAAGTTGTAGATACGAGCCCGGAGGATGTAGACATCAGCAGTGGCCCTGCCTTGCTTTACCTCTCTGGTGACGAGGGAGAGGCAGTCCTGATGCCGATTGAGAGCGAGCAGGCAGGCCATGCTGGAGGGGGGCAGAGGGAGGGCAGGATGCACTGAGTCTGGGGCAGTAAGAGGCTGCTGGGCGAGGGGAAGGCGCTGCACACTCACCAGCGGTAACTGAAGGAAGGGTTCTGGGGCTGGAGATCGGAGGCTTGCAAGAAGACATACAGGGCTTCCTGGAAGTCACACAGCTCATACAGGCACTGGCCCTAAGGAGACAGGGTTGGTCAGTTCTGCTTATAATTCCAGCTCTGATGAATTCCACAGGGAGAGGACAGGGAGAGGAGAGGCAGAGACTTCAAGAGACAGAGATGGGAGATGCAGAGCTGAGTAGAAACACCAAGGAACAGAGGAACACAGAGCACTACGAGACTGAATAGAAGAGTAGGTGAGAGCAGCAGGCTCTGGCCAAAGGTCTGGCACTCACAAGCATCCCTGGTTCAGATTAAGGAAAGAAGGCTCAGAGAGGTGAAGTGACTTTCCCAAGGTCACACAGGAAGTGAGATGGCAGGTCACAGGCAACTTGAACAGTTATTTGAGTGCTTTGAGGGCTCCTTCCTTCTCCTTCTCTAGTATGATTGTTTGTTGGTGTTTCCCACTGTAGCCCACACTGGCCTGGAACTATGCGACCCCGGCAGACCTTGAATTCAGTGTCCAGAGTGCTGGGATGGCAAACCCGAGCCACCGTGTCTGGCCCCGTGTTTTCTACTACATTTATTTATTTTGAGTGCGAGTGGGGGCAGCACCTGTTCAGCACACATGTGGATGTCCTAGATAACTTTCAGCAGTCAGTTCTCTTCCCACCATGTAGGTCTCAGATGTCGAGCTCAGGTTGTCAGCCCGAGAGGCAAGCACCCTTACCTACTGAGCCATCTCACTGGCCCCAAAGCTTCTTTGTAAGAACTGAATGATTTGGTGTTTTGTGGTATCGGGGCTCTAACTCAGGCCCTTGCTATACTAGGCAAATGTTCTACCGCTGCTACACCCCAACTCCACTTCTACCCAATATTTAAAAGAAGGTGCTGGACTATGGGGGTGCACACCTTTAATCTCAGCACTCAGGAGCCAGAGGCAGGCAGTTCTGTGAGTTTGAGGTCAGACTGGTCTACAGAGCCAGTTTCAGGACAGTCAATGCTACACGGAGAAACGCTGTCTTAAAAAAAAAAAAAAAAAAAAAAAAAAAAAAGCTTCAGAACAAAAAAGCAGATGTGAGAGTAGTGAGATGACTCAGTGGGTAAAGGTGAATTGTCACCAAGCCTGATGCCCAGGGCCCACATAGCAGGAGACAACTGACTACTGCATGTTGTCTTCTGACCTCCTATATGCACACACGCACATACACTCACGCACACACGTACACACACAAATAAATACATGTAAAAATAAATTTTAAGCAATTAACCTTTTACTTAGTGCTAGGCATGGGACCTAGTGCACCCTGTATTTGAGGCAGGCATCCTACCACTGAGCCACACCCCTACTGACTCACACAAATCAAATTTACAATTTAGTTCAGTCATACTTGCTTCATTTTGATAGCTCAACTTTTCCATGTGCCTGGCGGTGACCCTACTGGACAGTGTAGAGTAGATCGTATCCTTACTACAGAGGTCCATTTAGACACCCCTAGCTGTTTAAATTAGTAAACCAGAGAGGGGGACAGCGAGTGGGGATAGGTGGGACACAGACACAGAACCAGGAGTCCTCAAGCACTCAGATCTGATTCTAGGAACCTGTGAGGAATGCACTCCTGTGTGGGTGGGAGCAGCCCAGGCACCTGAAGGTAGAGCACAAAGGCCAGCCGCTCCAGGTATTTGCTATTCTCTGGCTCATAGGAGTAGGCCCTGCGCAGGTTCTGCAGGGCAGAGGAGAAGTCGCAGAGCTGGATGAAAGCCTCAGCACGGAAAATATAGAACTCAACCTGAAGAAGGCAAAGAGACCCAGGCTGCTGTGTCCTTTCTATCACCTGCCCCTCGGAGCAAGGAGGGTGACTGTTGTGGCTCCTCAAGGCTTAAAAGAATTTGATGGTCCTGGGAGGAAGAGCCTAGCAGGCAGCAGGGAGGAGCTTCCAGTGGCCACTGTGACTCAGTCTCCTCTTACCTGGTCGGGGTTCAGGTGGAGAGCACGGGAGAAGTAAAGCACAGCCATCTCCCAGTCCTCTTGTTCTAAGCAGTGATGGCCTTGGTGATAGCTGTGAGGACAGGAGAGTTCAGGCAGTGGGGCTGGCCTTGATATTGGACCAGCCCAGGGCATTCTCAGGGCTACAGTGGGGCAAGGGGGAGGGAGGGCTGAGGTAAAGAGGCTGGAAAAGTAAGCAGAGTTCCAGGGAGGGCAGCTGGCCTTCCTGGAGCTCTTTCAGCTTTTAATCCTTTTGTCCATCAGTGTTCACTGAGGCCCAGAGTGGGACAGTAGCCAGCTCGGGACTGTACTCCATGGTAATGGCTGTGTGGAGCAGGATCCTGGGGCTGGGGACAAGGAAGTCACTCACTACTCTCTGACTCTGAAAGGCACTGTTGACTCTGTCAACCTTGGTTTCACCACACCACTAACGCTGTAGAACACCTGGCTGGTCCCAAAGATGCGTTGCAGGGTCGTCTCTCGGGTCTCAGGGACCTGTAGCTTTGGGATTTTCTGTGTTTGGACATTGACAGACTCCTAGAACCAAATCAGAGGCAATGAGCTTGGAAAGCCTCAGGGATCACCCCACATCACTTCTACACGTCCCAGGGACTTTGCCTGGTGCTGGAGGAGGTGTGGGAAAGCCCCCTGGTAGAAGACACACCCAGTCTGGGGTTCAATGGTCCTCCAGATGTTTCAACATTTTTCTAGCCCTGCCTCTCTCCCTCTCCTGTGGTCAAGATCAAGGGGATGAGAGTCCTCCTAGCCACTGCACCTCTGCTCTCCTCTTGGTTTTTGCCTGCTCTTACCTTGTGCTATAGATGCCCAGTGTTCTCAGTGCTCCAGCTTAGACCCTGCTCTATATCTATCTAGGCTTTGAGATTACTTGTAAATCATCTGGGACTCTCACACCCAGCAGGTCACACTGAGCAAGCACTTTCCCTGACTTCTTTCTTCTATGTGGTTACCCTTCCCATTGTCACCAGAATCAGAGACTTATGTATCATCTGTCCTCAAGTGTTTCATGATTCAAACTCTCTCCATTGGGCTGGGCTGCAGTGACACACACCTTTAATATCTGTGTAGGGTGAAAAGGACCAAGGGAAAAACATCCTGTCCCTGACAAGACCTTCAGGAGACCTGGGCCAAGGCAAAACATCCTGACCCCAACATGACCCCAGGACCATGGATTGAAATCCCACCATTCTCAAGCCACCCAGGAAAGCTCCGCACCCATCCCCACAAGAAGCCCTATATAAACTCTGTACCCAGTTTTGCTGCTGTTTCTCATCCTAGAGGCAGCCATGCTCCTTGATTTTCCCTTCCCAATAAATCTCTTGAGTGAGGTTTGTAGTGAGGTCTGACGTTTTTGCCTGAGCTGAGCTTAGCTGTAACAACTTTTGCCAGAGACAGAGGGAACAGAACTAACACTTTCGCTGGGGAAACTTTCTCCTAGACCAGCAGAGTTGTTACACTCCAGGGGACCTAAGTAGAGCAGAGCAGAACTGTAACACTGGCACTGCGAATCTTTGAGAATCTTTGAACGGAGTTGTTACACTTGCCTTGGGGAAACCTTTTCCTGGAGCAAATCTGTAAGTTGCTATGATTACAGTGATTTTGTGGTATTCTTTGGCTCCTGACTGCCAGGATACTTTACCATCTGAGCTCCAACACGTAACAAACTGTACTTGAGAGTCAGAGGCAGGCAGATTTCTCCGAGTTAGAGGCCAGCCTGGTCTACATAATGAAACCCTGTCTATAAAAAACAAACGGGCTGGAGAGATGGCTCAGAAGTTAAGAGCACTGGCTGCTCTTCCAGAGGTCCTGAGTTCAATTCCCAGCAACCACATGGTGGCTCACAACCATCTGTTATGAGATCTGGTGCCCTCTTCTGGTGTGCAGATATATATGGAAGTAGAATGTTGTATACATAATAAATAAATAAAATATTTAAAACAAACAAACAAACAAGCAGGGCAGTGGTGGGACATGCCTTTAATCCCAGGATCCAGGAGACAGAGGGAGGTGGATGTGTGAGTTAAAACCCGTGCTGGTCTACCGAGAGAGTGCCAGGACAGCCAGGTCTACATAGAGAAATCTTGTCTTGAAAAACCAAAACAACAACAAACTGAAATAGAATAACAATTAAAAACCTCTCTGCCGTCTCCTTTTGGAGTAGGAGGCTAGTCACTCTTCTCCCCTCCCACTCTACAAACGATGAACTCTCACTCATAGGCCTCCCTGAAGGGCTTAACCGTCTCTGCCTCGGCTTCCTCCTCCTCCGCCGCCCTCACCTCGGTGCTGCTATCCGTCATGACGGGTTTCCAGGCTGACCTCTGGGTTGAGCTAACTCCCTGATTCTCGGCCTCAGTTGTTGCTAGGCACCAGCTCCGGGATGCCCAGAGGCTCCGCCCATTTGGCAGCGCCTCGAGAGTCAATAGAAACGTAGCTGGGCCAGCTGAGGCCTACGTCAAGGAAAGAACCTGCGGGG